GCGGGTAGCCGGGGCCCCCGCCCGGGCCGCCATCTCCGCCGCCCGGGCCGCTGTGCTGCGCGTACTCCTCGAAGGGAGGGAACTTGGGCTCGATGTAGTTGGAGTTTATCAAAAACGAGCTCATGGTCATTAATTTGTGAAGTGCAAAAATACTAATTTTTCTCGCGTTGTCGTTTTTTCTGGGCTCGCCGAGGCCCCTCCCCCTCTTGCCTCGCTTCCCATCCCCCTTTCCTCTGCGCCCTTCCCCTCCCCCCGCTGTCAAGTGCCCACCCCTCCCCCTCCCGCCGACGCCACCACCAAAGTTCGCGCCGCTCCTCCCCCGCCCCTGCGCGCGCGCGTTCCGTCTCAGCCCCGCGCGCGCCCCGCCCCGCGCCCCACGTGCAAAGCCCCCACCAATGGGCGCAGCGCGCGCGCGGACCCGGATCAGGAAACGCGCGGGTGCGTGATGGATGTCGCTGTCCGGCCCCTGGGCGGTGAGGGGGAGCGGGGGCCTTGGACTCCCAGCCCCCCAACTTTGATGCCCCGCTGGGAAATCGGGGTGGGGGGGCTGTCAGGCTGTGGGTCCTCTTGGGAGCCCTATGCATGGCTTACTCCTGGCCTAGGCCTCGGCGACTCAGGGCTGACCTTGGATCCAGCCAGTCTTCGCAGTGTCCCGGGGTTCGAGGCCGACTGGGGAAGGGAAGGACGTGGGGACCAAGAGGCACCCTAGGTTTTTATCCAGGCCCCAGAATGGCTAACAGACCCGTTTTCTCAGCCGCTGATGCCCTTCTCCATGCCCTGCTCGCTGCATCTGCTTGAGAGCCGGTGCTTTGAGAAGCTTGGCAGGAGCTGCAAAGGGTGGGTGGGCAGCGGAGAGAAATCAACCCAAGGATGTAAATTGAGGCTATTCCAATACAATTGGATGAACACTTCATTTTTTCCTTAGAGACAGAATCTACCTTTTTTTTTTCCCCAAAGAAAATTTGGAACCTTCCTAATAGCATTTAACTTGATGGAGGTGTCGATGTGAGAGCTATACATGCCCGCGTTTACTAGGTGCAATTGTGAGAGAGAAGGTGGCCCAAGGATGGGAATGGATAGAAACGACGCCTCCATAAAACCGAGCTTTGAAACCAATAACTTCCTATTTTTGTCAAATCCCCAAACAAAAACAAGCTAAGGATAGAATAAACGCCTTGCCGGATCTGATCACCGACAGGTCTATTCCAGCTAAGAATTTTATGGTTTTTGCATGCTGCTTTCTCAGGCTGTATCTGAGGCTAGAGTTATATTTAAAGGACAGTCTACAATTCCTGAATTGCTGAAAATTAGCATATTAACGATATCAGTAGCTCCAGAAAGGAGGGAGAGGGAACTGTTGCCTGCCATTTAGTAATTGAAATTTGATGGGTAAACTAATTATGCCATTATTAACAAATAAATTACTTATTAATTCCACCTATTGTTGATCTTTGAAGTAAATACTGATGTCTTGTTTGTACTGTGTACTTTCCCTTTCCTCTTCTGAGTAACAGACACACCTAGATCCTCTCCTTTTCAGCCTAGATTAAAGCAGTGCAAACTAGCATAGTCACCATTCTAAAAATACTCTCATATTGGCATGCAAAGCAAGGATTTTTCAGCTGGTGCACCATAGTTGATTTTTCAGAGAGCGGTAAGAACAGCATTCTCACAACTGAGTCTGGAGTACAGACAAGGAAAGTTATAGCCTAAGCCTAGAGACACTTCAAAGGGAATGTCAAGTCTATCTTCATTTATATCAGTTACTCATATAAGTTGCTAAATGCTGGAAGATATCCATATGATAGATAGTCATTTAATGTTTAGCCACATAAAGCCTATTATATGGGACTAATCTTTAAACTAATTTAGGAAAAGAAGTTTAAAAAGAGATCATATTAGTTTTCTAACTGGAATCACCCTGAAAAAAAAAAGATTTTCCATGTTGGGTATATGTGTGTGTGAAGAGTGCTGTCCATTGACATAAGGTACCCTGACAATTTTTTGTTTTTAATGAAATCTGAGCCACAGACAGACATCAACACTGAGTATAATCTTTAGACATCCTCTCCAGACTTGGGAGGAAAATCTTGTCTGTGATACAGCTACCTAAACCAATATCGCTCCCTGGCAAGAATACACACACACACACACACACACACATAAACACACACACACACACATTGATTATATAGTATATAATACAATTAATATATACATTTATGTATTACAAATCTGGGCTCTCTGAGCTTCAGGGGAACAAAAAGCATGACTAGGAAATCTTCCCTCTTCATGTCATCAGCCTGGAGTACTAGGGTTTTATCCATGTCTGTTTAATATTATTTACAGATGCTAAAACATAAAATTCATGTTTAGCTTCAGAACCTTCTACCAAGTTTCTATTTTTAAATATTAACGAGGCATGGGCAAGATTTTGTCTATGATTAACCTAAGCGAGTTAACTATGCCTGTGCTTCCTGGTTCTATTACTTTAGGAAGATGGGCTTACACAGAATCCCCCAAGGCCTGTAACTTGTCTTTGTGGTTCCTATCATAAACACAAACGGAGCCAGGACCACCAAGTGTTATCTCACACGCCGACATTTTGACATTTTACTGCAAGATTTATGACTGTAATAAACAATCTCAGTACCTTTTCTGAACCTTCCACAATCTCCCTTTGCAAACCATAGCATCATTCTATTGAATCAGATGATCTTTTGAAAAACATTAAAACACACACACACACACACACACACACACACACACACACACACACACACTCTTGCCTTTATGTAAGATCCAAGATACCAAAAAAAAAAAAAAAAAAAGCCCAGGAAGAAACTAACTGAATTAATAAACAAACTGAAGTTTACCGGCAGCATCTTGCCCGAGAAAAGATGGGATGCCCCGAAATCTAGCAGAGAGGGAGCGTGTTAGTCCTCGCACACCAACTGGCTGCAATCCCAAGCGGGGTGAAAGCGTTATCCTTTTCTTGGGAAACTGGTAAGCACATTTGCTCATGTCCACGTACAGGGATAACATCTATACCCAACAAAAGCTTTCTTAAAATCCCATTAAGTGAAATAACTTCATCATGTCCTCGAATCCCAGATGGAGGAGAGTGAAGGGAGTCCAAGGGAGAGGGAGGGCGAGAGGGAGGCAGTGTTTGCAGCTTGGAGTGAATCTGATTTGAATCATTTTGAATATATTTGTAACAGCCTTCCCTCTTGAATGCAACCCTGTCCCAAGTTTCAAAGTGACCGAACAGTGACACCGTGTGCATTTTGTTTCTTATTAATCTTACACATTGACAGTCTTTGTTAAATCACAAGGCGCGCCCTTCACCAGCCGACATTTTCATATTTGTTAGACGCGCTGACCTGAAGTTCACCTCGGCCTTGGACTTTGCGCTTCTAAAAGGTCTATACAGTGTCTTTTACAGAGCAGGGTGCTTTGCCCAGGTCACTCCTTCTCAGGAAAAACCAAGGGGAAAAGGCAAAGGAAATGTAAACGTTATGGAATGTATTGACTGTATTTGTCCTTTGTTCTTTAGGGCGAGAGTTCCCCTAGACTGTTCGCTATCTGATGCCTGTCTCTGGAGCTGAACAGGAGAATGACAGAATTTCAAAATGCCTGATGGTGGCATGTTAGGGCTTTCCTCCTTACCTACACTAGGCACATGATTTTAGAGGAACAACACTTTACCAACGATTTGACCAACAAATTGTTGGGGATTAATAACAAGGATACAGAAGTTTAAAATGGTGAACACAACCCAGGCATAAGGACTGAAATTCATATTGGCATAATACATGAATTTTAACTGGGATTGTGTGAGAGGCCCAAATAGCAAAATACTCTAAATAAAGAAGTAATCACTCTAAAAGTAAAAACTTCTTCAACTACCCTTTCCTTTTACTTTAAAGACTAGCTAACAAAAGCGTCTATGATTATTGAAGCTGACATATTTGTATGGTGTATCACACCTTTTAAACAAACAAAAAAATACAATAAAAAGGTTTCTCAAAGAGACACATAATAGTGAGTAATAGAGGGGGGTTTCAGTTTTCTTCATTTCACTGGCCCAGATGTGGTGAAGTGTTCACTGCTGTAACAGCAATCACCACAGTTGTTTCCCTTCTTCTGTTTCATCTGGCAAACCCCCATTTGGCTCCAAGCTCTTGGCCAGAGTAAAAACTTTACACATTGCACAGTAGAAGCACCCTGATTACTTCCACGAAGTCAGTGTTTGGGAAATATTTACTTTACCACTGAACATACCTGGCACCGTTAAGTCCAATCAACCAGAATATATTGGGATGATCCTAAACATTCTGGCTAGAATCTACATTCTAAGTAGTTGAATTATCTCCAAAGCTAAAAAAAGAAAAACCTAGGGAAAATACTTCACCTTTCATTTCTCTATTTTTCTACACTGACTGCTTGAAGGTCAATACATAGAAAAGGAAAGTTTGTTTCCCCAGAAAATAGATTCTAACAGCACCAACACTTAAAAATAAAATAGTGTTTAGCTCTTCATTTGCAACTCACAAGGCACGTTCCAGTCTGCTTCCTTAATACACTATTCCCTTTCTTTTCTGCTCTCTTACCCTTTCTCCTTCACTTCCTTTCGCCTCTCCTTAGCTTCTTTCCTTCCTTTCTCACATGTAGTATTTTCTGGAGAACAGACATATGTCATGGTGGTCTCACAAAGTGGCCTGGCATTTGTGGACTCCACCTTTCTGCATTCTCTAAGATTTAGTTATTTACTACACTGAATCGTAGTTTAATAATAAACAAACATTTTCAAACAGGAGCATATTTATCCATGGCACCAGTAAGCATTTTATCACCGGTGGTGGTGGTGAGAAGAATCCTGTCCTTTCAGGAGTGTTTCCACTGCCTTCCTTCCCCTTCCCAGCTCTGAGAATCCTTTGCATGCAATGGGTTGTAGTTTCAGTGAAAGCGTTTTCTGTGATTGAAAATTGCAAATATTACATTTTGCAGGAAGTGCCCATGTTTGCTTTTGTTCTCAAACACTTTAGGGACCATTACATATACTACAAAGACAAAGAAACCGGCCAATCAAAATCCCCTTTCTCAAAGGTTTCCTGCATCATTTGCTTACCTTGGAAGGTATAATGGGACATTGGCAACTTGCTATGTTATTTTTTAAAGCTCCACTGATGAATTTTTGAGCGTTTTTATTTTGTGACAAACCCACAAACAGACTCCTGGTTCTCCAACATCTAAGGTGTTGGTGTTTCTGTAATCTATGCCTATTTACCTGCTGCTAGTCCCTCAGAATGGGAGCAATAATTCAAGATGAAATACAACATGTATTACTCTTGAAAAGAGGAATTTTCTATCCTTTCCTCCATAATTGAGGTCATTCAACCACTAGGGTTCACCTGGAGTCCATACTGTGATACACGCGTCACTCCGAGCCATTTTATCTTTTGTGCTGATAGTCAAGATCGCAGCTCTAACATTGACATCAAACTCTGTCTGGGCAGATGACTAAGAGTGCTGCACAATGTAAACTTTTGACCCTCAACTTTTTGACCTGCAGTTGTAACACACTAACCACAAAGATACACAAAGCTGAGCCTCTTCTTTCAGGGGGAAGGGCCCCCAACCCTAGGATCTTGAGATGCCCTGTTTTGGGAATTAGAGGGTGAGCTGGATATTTTTGTGCATTTGGGACTGTATTTCCTGTGAAATCAGCCTCCTACCTCTTTTTGCCAGCACTTAGATAGGAACTAGATTAACTTGAAATCGCTCCCGATTCCAATTTACAAGGAAATTTTGGAGCAGAACAGGAAAACCTTGAAAAAAGTGAGAGAAGAGAAGATGGAGGAAGGCAGGCAATGGGAAGTGGAGATATTTTCCCCTTTATTTAAAAATAAAAATGCAGCCCTTATTGTTGGGAGAGCTGGCCCAGGCGGGTGAGTTGACTGTGAACTTGTACTAAAGCGTGCTCTGCTGGCGATTCCTAGGGTGTGCAGATTTATCTTCTCTGCATTTACTTAACCCGGCAGTGAACTGCGCGGGTGTCATTTATTAGGCGATGACAGACTTCACCTCCAGCAAGGGCTGCTTCACAAAATCGTAATAATTACCTAATAACCTTCATAACAAATATTATTATTGAGAAGACCAATTTGTGAGGAGGGGACCTAGTAGGGGAACAAAAAATTTCTTTGTGAAAAACACCAAACAAAATAAACCTGGGCAGACCTTCTAGTTCTGGGGTTTAGAATGGCTAGGACTGTGGACCCCCTCCCCTACGTGAGTGGGAGCCTAGGCTAACCCCCTCAGCCTTGCCTGGGAGCCCCATTAATTGTTTTGCCATTTACTAGAAGGAAGTTTCCCCCTTAGAATTCAGAGGGATGGGACCCGCAATTCTCTGCACTCTCCATGGTGGGCAAGTCTTGGACAGACCCCCAGCCAAGGCAGGGGAGAGGCTAAGAAAGATATCTTTTAAGCTAAAAGGATTGTTTTCCTCTTTAATAGCCCAGGTTGTAAGGTGTGATTTGCTCTCCCCTCACTAACAGTTTGGATATAATACTCTTAGAATCTCAGCAAATGAACAGGACTCTGTTTGGGGTAGAAAATTCTGTCTTGCTAACCCAGAGCCGCCAACAATGAAGCAGGGGAAAGAGCAGGAGAAAAAGAATCTTGGCATAATGTTGTGAAATTAGACCATGGAAACCCTAACAAACCCCTAAGTAAGTGTGACCAGAAGCTTCCTATTATATTTATAGTTCAGGAAATATTGTCTCTTTAACTTGTGAAAACAAACGAGCCCCTGCACATTTCCGCCACCTTCTCCTTTTACAAAACGAGGAGGAGCACAGACACACACTCTTCTGCCACTGACTGAGGCTGGACGTCTTCATAAAGCCTTCAGTGACAGAGATCTTTTTTCGGAGTAAGTTTCTCTATAAACACAATCCCAAAGAACACACGAAAAGAAAAGAAATAACCTATCTACAAAATGAGGAGATAACCAGCCATTCTCTGTACTATACTTCCTGTGAAAATAGGAAGAAAATAATTCCTCCAATGATACTCACATAAGTCTGACTGGATGCTGGATTTCTAAAAATTCATTTAACTCTATGTGGGTTGACCTGCTCCCTTAAATCTACTTAAGTTTAGTGACGATTAAAATGACAGAAATAAGGAAGTGGGTAATATTTACAGCCTGTGATTTTGTTCATTCCATAGAAGGATTCTGTATATTGTGTGGTGCAGGATATGACACCAACAGCTTTTCTGGCTATTTCCACACCCCAGGGAGGGATGTGTCCACAGAGGTGGTTGGACACTTGCTCTATGTGAGTTACCCCAACAAATCTGCCAGCACTCCCAACACTCTTTTTTCCTGCTTTCTATTTCAGTCACCAAGAAATCACTCAAGCAAGATCACCAAATGAGTAACCAAAATGGAACCATAACCCAATGTTTTCCAATAAAGATCCCAAAACTCAGAGCAGCAAAAAAAAGAATTCAGAATTCTCACAGATACATACAAGTATAAAAGAGAACTCACACCCATGTGTAGTTTACCTTCTAGTTCCCACAAAGGTGTGGACACATCTTCCAGAGTGTTGAAATGCCAATGTTCACTTTAATAGGTTATACAAAATGACTTCCGAGATTCTTCACCTTGCCACTATTCATGAGAAGTCGGGCTTGTGAGAGGGTTTCGATTTTTCCAAAAAAACTTTCCAGGTTTTTCTTTCTAGACCTCTAACTTTGGGGACATCTGTTGGACTTATGTTGAGCCTAGTGGCCTCTGCACAATCAAGTTTATTGAAATTCCAAATCCATGTTACAAAAATTTTCACTTTAAGCACTTGGTAAATATCTTTACCAACTAGCACTTGCTGAAAACTGTCCAGTTTCTAAGGAGAAGAGAAGATCTCATGTTTTTGTTTCATTTCTGAGTGCAGTTGGAGAATTTGGCTTAATTCCTACAACGGGATTGGGGGAAATCTACTAGGTCCCCTGTGGGTACCTATCTAGAAAAAGACCCCAAGATAGGCCACAGAGTTCCCATGAAATGGTCTTCGTTTTTGCCATCGAAGAATGTGGGGGGGGGGGGTTGGGACCAGAAGGGGCGACTAGGGCCAATATGGAATTGTACCCAGGAAAATTTTATTTCACCTGATTTCACCCACTGGTGCAATTTTTGAGACTGTTTTGGAAATCATAGATTATGTAAATTTCCTGGGATCAAACAGAAAGAGCAGCTAACAAAAGAAAGGCGGAAATCTCCTACTGACAAACAAACAATTTCTTCCCTAAACTACCGTTTATGATGTGTCAGGAAAAACAGCCTAATGGCTCTGGGGACTTTTAAGTTGGGCATTGAAGACACCTCAATTTCCCCCCAAACTTTAGAGCACAGTTTTGGAAGAGAGAATTCGTCTGTATGGGGGGGGGGGTAAATTTATCCAGTCTTCAGTGTTACTTAGGGGGACGTCTAAGTTGCCTTTTGAGGGTCTTGTGCCTAGATGTTTTCATTTTACAAAGAAGAGGAAAAGGAAAGAAGAGAGGGAGAAGAAAGGCAAGGCGGAAGAAAAGAAAGCTCCTTAACCCCTTTCAATTATCCTGGGTATTCAAAGACTAAAGTTAAATCCGGCCATAAACTTTATTGCTTCAGACTCTCACAGGCGGGTGAGAACTGTCCCACCGAAATAAAAAGAACGTTCAGGCAAACAAGGTTCAGGGCCTGGTCTCGGGTACGGGGGAGGGGGGTGCTGAACCCCCCCAAGGTGGGGGACCCTTGATCCCCAGCGCCCAGTGGGCACGACCAGCCTGGGCTTGACCTCGCAGCCCAGGGGTCCAGCCTGGAGGCGCAGCCTGCGCCTCGCCAGCCTCTGCCACCCTCCTGCTCTCCCGAGCCAGCCTGAAACCCGGCCGCGAAGGCCGCCGCCTCAATTCAGTCCTGCCAGATGACCCCGGCCCGCGAAGACATATTGCCACAGCCCCGTAAGGAATCCCGCCAGAGTCCGCCTCGGCCCTGCCCGGGCCTTTCTTTCTAACTCCGAAGCGCAGCTCGGCTCTCGGCGCCCGCGACCGGCCCCCACTGTCTCCCAGCCCCCACCCCAGGGTCCCGCGACCCCCAAGAGCCGGCCCCGGAATTGTGCGGGGGAGAGGGGGCGGCCCTGCCAAGTCTCCACACGCAGGCCCATTCGCACACAAAAATCATCTTTTTGCACGCCGGCGGGAGCAGCGGAAGTCATTAACATCCGCGGTTGTGCAGCAATTAAAGTTAGGCCTGGGCATGCGGCGGCCACAGGCGCTGCTCCCCGCGCGGCCTCGCAGAGCGGGCGCCTGGCGCTGCTCATCTGGGCACCGGACAAGTTTGCTCTCCCCTTTCGAACTCAGAGGCAGCCTCAGAGTTATTGAGCCAGAGAGAGAGAGAGAGAGAGAAAGAGAGAGCAAAGAAGAAAGTTCTCAGAGTACAAATAAACTGGAAAGCGCTCAGGAGGCGGCGAGCTTACCTTAACTCGGAGGGAGCCATTTTTCAGAGAGTTTTGAGAACTTGTGGTTTGGACACTTCTGGACCTAAAATTGACAGTTTGAATGACCAGGCGGCACACGTAGCCTGCAAAAGAGTCAAATGGAGTCCAGCGTCAGTGAGATTATATGTTATGTGGTATATAATGTTGGATGTCAACTCCCCAAAACCATAAAACTTACTTTAATGGCCCCACGTGACGTTTTATAGCCAGTGAGCCGATCTGTCTGTGCTATGGATGATTTTACGATCTAATTCATAGACAAAACCCTATTCATTTGGCACCCAAATGTCATATAGCCGGAACTGGGGCTTATAAAGTTTACTGTTTTATAACTTTAAAAAGGCAAGACGGCATCAGTGTAAGCAGTCGGTAAATGTGCAAATCTCTAGTTGCGCGCTTTAGCCGCTCTGAGGAGTTTCCCAATCGAGCTAGGATGGGGTAAGTACCTTCCATTTGTAGCAAATTAATGGTAGCAAAAGAAACCAACTGGGTCCAGGGTGAGGAGTGGGGAAGGGGTGCTGGGTTGGCTAAAGGGCAGAGGGTTGGGATCCACAAGCTGGCATAACAGCCTCTCTAGCAAGTGGAGGCCTAGGACCGCCTTAGAAGAGAGGCAGGATCTGTGTGGCCCTGAGGGTGGTTAACAAAGCCCTGGGCTTTTTCTCCTTTCTCTCTCTTCTTCTCTTTTTTTTGTACCCAGCAAGTTAACTTGGTTTCCTCAAGGTAGCCAGGGTAGACTCAGGCTTTGGAGATGCCTACAGCCTTTTCCACCTTCTGCCCGGAACTTTGTGATGGGTCAGAGCTAGGGAGGCAATGGGCCAAGCCAGGGTGTTGGTCTGAGGTCTCCACGCACAGGCCATCTGCTCAGGTAGCCTCAGACTCACCGGCTTCCAGGACTGGACAGAGAGAAGCAGAGAGAGCCGCTCGCTATTTGGCACAAACCAGACCAAGAGAACTTACAATAGAAAGTTTATTTTTTTGTTTCCAGTCAGTATTTTTTTTCCTTAAAAACAAATACCAAAAAAAATAATAATAATTAAAAAAAAAGCTGATCACAGTTTGCTTAAACAGCCAGACTTGGACAATATTTGTAACTTTGTTCACAAAAACATACATCACTGAAGCTGCGCTTATAAGAGCCACTTCCAGAGTTCGTGCAAAGGGTCCTACAAAGGCACGCAGGGACACACCGCTTGGAGTCACAGTTTTCGTCACAGAGTCACTAGTCACTACACGTCGAACAAGTTAAGTTGTGTCTCATCAAGTCACCTCTACAACAGCATTAATTACACAAGGAATATAGGTAGTTTGAATAAAAATATCTTTAACAGCTTGGAGCTATTGAGACAGGAACACTTCCACGCACATGCACAGTTAAACACCTCGAGTGCAACACACAACATTGGCACTAAACGAGATTGAAGGGGGACTTTTTTGTGTGTTTTTTTTTTTGTTTGTTTTCTTTTTTGTGATAGTTACTTCAAGTAACACAGCTTGCTTCATATAAATAAGTTAAAACATCTATTTTTTTCAAGACAAAGCCATTCAGGACAAAGAGATGAACAGAAAGCAGATCTACTTATACAGGCGCTATTATGGCAATAAACAGGCTCATGATTAAAAGATGAATTAGGGCAAGGAGAACAGGGCTTCTTCACAGAAGGAACACAAGGGAGTTTCAGAAAGTCACCTTAGTACTGACACTACGCGGGATCCGCTAATACTGCTCAGTACTTTAAACGCTCAGATACTCAGGGGCGGAAGGCCCCTCCCGCCGCCGCCATGCTCATGCTTTTCAGCTTATTATCTTTTTTCCACTTCATTCTCCGGTTTTGGAACCAGATTTTAATTTGTCTCTCGGAGAGGCAAAGAGCATGTGCTATTTCAATCCTTCTTCGGCGGGTCAGGTAGCGGTTGAAGTGGAACTCCTTCTCCAGCTCCAGGGTCTGGTAGCGCGTGTAGGCCGTCCGGGCCCTTTTGCCTTCCGGGCCGCCTATGTTGTCTGCAACAGAAAAGTCAGCGGTTTAGCCACCAACTCCTCAGCCCCTGGCTTCCAAAGGCCGCCGGCTGGACAAGCCAGGGTCCTGAGCAGGGAACCCGGGCGAAAGGCTCAACAAGTCCTCCCTCCCTGCCCGCCTCCCCACCCCTCCCGAATTTCCTTCCCTCTTCCTTTCGAGAGAGGAAACAATACGATTTGGACTCTGGGAACAATCGCCCATCTGAGCCCGGAGCCGCGTCCCGGAGGGCCGCCGGCGATCCCTGGCCCCTCTCCTGCCCTCTGGCCCTGCCCCGGGCGTCCCGAGCCGGGGCACAGCCCTCGCGGGCTGCCCGCTGCTCAGGAGCCCACAGAAGCACAGCCCCTCTTCTGAGCGCCCAAGTGGCCTCCAGGTCACCCCCCCTGAAAGTTCCGGCCCCGCGAGCTGCCGCGCGTTCCAGCCTGCGCGCTTGGGGCGGCTGCTTTCTTTCTCTTCCCTTTCCTCCTCGCTCCCGCCAGACCCCAAACTTCATAATCCCGCCGGCTCTCGCCTCGATTGTTCCCCCCAAGCCCCTTTTCGGGGCTCCAATTAGTAACGCTGTTTCCCCAGCGTCGCCCTCCTCATAAATTATCCGCCCTGACAAGCCCGATTCGCGGCTCCTACTGCCTGCCTCTACCTCTCCGCGCCCCGCTCGGCCGGCCTGACCCGGGAGCGCGCTCCCAGGCGCTGGGGTTGCAGACGGGCTTCGCCCTTCCTCCCCGCCTCGGCGCCCAAACCTGCCCAGCCAGCGGCCGATCCCCCCGCTCTGCGAGCGCAGGGTGCTGCGAAGAAGGGAAGAGGGAAGGAGGAAGGCAGGGGCGGGCGGGCGGCGGGGAGAGGCTCCGCAGGGCTCCGCAGGGCCCGGAGAGGCGAGGCCAGGAGGGAGGCTGGGGGAGAGGGCGGCAAGGGAGAGAGGGGGACCGAGAGCCGCGTCCCCGCGGCCGCGTGCGCTTAGAAGAAGGCTGGCTTTACCATGACTTATGTGCAGCTTGCGCATCCAGGGGTAGATCTGGGGCTGGGCGGGCGGCGCCGGGCTCGGCTCGCTCTGCGCGCTCGCCGGCTCGCTGCTGGCGGGGGCGTCCTCCTCGGCTCCGGACGCCGTGCCAACCCCCTCTCTGCTGCTGATGTGGGTGCTGCCGGCGTTGGCCGAGGCGCCGCTGGAGTTGCCCAGGGAGTTTTTCCCGCCGTGGTGGCTGTCGCTGCCGGGCGAGGGGGCCACGGCGGAGCAGGGCAGCGGGTCGGGCGGAGGCGAGTGCGTGGACGTGGCCGGCTGGCTGTACCTGGGCTCGGCGGGCGCCGCGCTGGCGCCGGCCGCGTAGCCGCGGGCGCGCTCCCCGGAGCCAAAGTGGCCGGAGCCCGAGCGGCCGACGCTGAGATCCATGCCATTGTAGCCGTAGCCGTACCTGCCGGAGTGCATGCTCGCCGAGTCCCTGAATTGCTCGCTCACGGAACTATGATCTCCATAATTATGCAACTGGTAGTCCGGGCCATTTGGATAGCGACCGCAAAATGAGTTTACAAAATAAGAGCTCATTTGTTTTTTGATATGTGTGCTTGATTTGTGGCTCGCGGTCGTTTGTGCGTCTATAGCACCCTTGCACAATTTATGATGAATTATGGAAATGACTGGGACATGTACTTGGTTCCCTCCTACGTAGGCACCCAAATATGGGGTACGACTTCGAATCACGTGCTTTTGTTGTCCAGTCGTAAATCCTGCCTGATGACCTCTAGAGGTAAACTCGTGCACTAATGGGGGAGTTGGGTGGAGGCGAGAGGGGTGGCGCGCGCGCCCCGGGCGCGTGCCCGCCGCCCGTGGCCGCCGTTCAGTCGGACTCGAGCGCCACCCGCTGGAGGCAGGGCGCATTGCCCCGCTTCCGACCCCGGGCTGCAAGGGCCGGGGTCGAATTGAGGTTACAGCCCATTATGGCAAAATATTGCATTTCCCTCGCAGTTCCATTAGGATGTACCAATTGTTAGGCCGTCAGCTGCCGATCGCGCGCCGGGCGAGGATGCAGAGGATCGGGGGGAGGTGGTGACTTGCATTTTTATTTACAACTTTATTTCCCCCGCTTTGCAGCCCCGCTTATTTTTGTGTCGAGGTTGGGGTCGGTTCTGCCTGTCCCGCCGGCAGCTCTGAATTTTGAGAATGCGGATATCACCTTCTTCGGGGAAGGAGGGGAACAACCATTTAGCCAATTGGAGAAATAAATCCTGCCCGCCTCAGCAGCTACAATTACGGCTCTGTTTTTGCGAGCGCATGAGGGACAGTGTCCCTGCCGCTCCAGAATGACAGGCGTCTATTAAAGATAGCTTTTGTGCAGTGTTTCTCCAAGGCGAGGTCAAATTCCATACACTTTTCCAACCGTAGTCGATTTTTCTTTCGTGTAAATATGGTTTTCGTGGCATTAGTTTGCTATTGGATTTGCTTACATATCCAGCCTGGAGAATCTTCACCGCAGGGTCCGGTTCCTCGAGCCAGCCGGGCCCCAAGTCGGAGGGTTCTCGGCCAATCCAGCGCGTGGGCCCAGGCTCCGCGCGGCCACAGAGGCTGCTTGGGGTCTAGGGATCCGTGGGCCGAGCTATAGGTGGCTTGCTTCAACCTCCAGAAGTAGAATGAGGGCGCTAATGGAAGCATTTCGTGGCAGTGCCCGGTATCTCCGTGGTTATTTCCCTGGGCTCCGCAAGAGGAAAGCGAATCACAAATACAGCTGAGAGGCAAGGGGAGCCTCCCCGCTGGAGGCCCGGCGTCGCAGGCGCCCCTGGCACGCCTGGAAGCCAGGACTCTTGCCGCTCCCATGGCCCCGGGCCCCCTGGTTGAGTCCTAAAAGGGGCTGTGGTGGTGGCGCGGGCGCTGCGGAGACCGGGCGCCGGCATCCCGGGCGGGAGCCCGAAGGGAGCCCAGTCGCTCCTGGGGCTGGGATGTTCCACCCGCGCCCGGTTAGCTCGCCTCCGCCGAGGCCGCTTCTTTTCCACTGACGGTTGCGCGCGAGGCGAGAGACTCGGCTCTGTTGGGGCCCCCTTTGTTCCTTGAGCTTCTTCCTGTCGGGGGGCGGTCCTGGGAGGCCGCGGCAAGGCCGGGGCCCCAGCCCTTAGACCCCCTCTTTCCGGTAGCCAGAGCTGATTTGGGGATGCCCTTCGGGACTCACTGGCGAGGGACCGAGGCGGAGGCGCCCAAACACGAAACGGGGCTCGGCCCGGGGCTTTTTCCACCCCAGCCACCCCGCATCCCGAGCTCGGGGAGCGCAGAGGCACTGGCATACGAGCCCCGCACGAATCCAGGACGCACCCCGGAACCCCAGAGCCGGTTTGGGCAGCCTTGTGGAGCGGGACTGTGTGTGCACAGCGCGCCCCGCTCCACCGCTGGTACTGGCTGCGAGTGGGGATTTTTGTTTGTTTTGTTTTGTTTTGTTTTGTAAGAAATAAATGCTCAGATGCTTGCAAAGCTCCGGGCTCCCCTGAAGCTGCGGAAGCCCCCGGGTGGGCGCAGGCGGGGAGAAAAGTCGGGGAGCAGGCGAGGGCCAGGGGCAAAGCTGGAGGAGGTTGCAGCGCTGGCCTGGTCCCTGCCCGTCTACTCGCCCGCCTTCGCCTCAGAGTCCTCCCCGCTGGGCTGCGTGGAATTGATGAGCTTGTTTTCCTTTTTCCACTTCATGCGGCGGTTCTGGAACCAGATCTTGATCTGGCGCTCGGTCAGGCAGAGCGCGTGGGCGATCTCGATGCGGCGGCGCCGCGTCAGGTAGCGGTTGAAGTGGAACTCCTTCTCCAGCTCCAGCGTCTGGTAGCGCGTGTAGGTCTGGCGGCCTCGGCGCCCATGGCTCCCGTACACAGCACCTGCGGGCATAAGTGGCCGGGCGCGGGTGAGCCAGGGGTCTGGACGGCCACCCCAGTCAGCCCGGTGCCTCCCACAAGGGGCCTCTGGGCTGGGAGCCACCCCGCCTCCACCCCAGCCTCTCCCACTGTGTCTGGGGCCCAAAGCGGACTGGGTGGGAGAAGAGAATTTCATGCCAAGCGAGGTGTTTTCCACCTAAAACGACTGGGGAGGGAAGTTGTTTTTGGAAAATCTACCTCATAAGGAAACCATTGTAGACAAAATAATAGAATGGGCGTTCTTAATTTGGGACACCCAAGTCTTGTTATTGTGGGGACGTAGCGTGTGTATGTCTGGGGGTGGTTAGTGTGGAACGCTCTGAGTGGTGTAGACACTCTGAATTCACATAGTGGTCTCTATGAGGATGCTACTGTGGCCAGCCGTGTCAGAACTCAAACCATTTTTTTGGAGAGTTAAAATGGTCAGTCCTCTCAAATCTTTAAAAATCTCCCCAAATTATGTGACCCTTCTGAGAAATACAGAACACCCCCCCGAGGGGGGGGGGGGGGGGG